AGATAATTAAATTAATAAATAAATAAATAAACAAATAAATAATAAAGTAAATAATTATATAAATTATTTTCTTTTTCAATTTTATTTGTATTTTTTTAAAATTATATATTTTATTTAACTTTAATATGGTTTTGTGAAGGTTTTTAGAATGAAAAAAAAAAAATAGAATAATAGAATGAAAAATAAATTAAAATCAAAAGCCATAATCATTATTTAAATTAAATATGTGAAAATAGGTTAAAATGGAATTATTTTCAATTATAAAAAATCATAACCATCAATTATATTAAATTAACAAATAACAACATTTATTAAATATTTTTAATAACTTTTATTTTCTAATTTTATTTCTATTTTATTGAATATTTTGATTGCTCCTATTCGCATGGGTGAAGTCGGTTAAATAGTAGATGGATCATTTGAATTTACATAAGCCAATTTAAAAACCATAACCCAATCTTTGATTTATGAATTAAAATGGGTTGATACTGAAATAGAATTTAAATTAAAAATATTAAAATTAGTTTATTTTATATATAAATAAATAATAAATACATTATAGTTACCTTAAGAATACCCAATAGTAGTATATAAAACCAACGTATAGACACAAAGAGAAAGAATATTTTTGAAATATTACCATTTGAAATGAAGGTTGATAAAGATGTGATTGTTTATAGGATGTAGTTGACTTTTTTTTAATTTCATCTATTTTAATAATTGAAACATTGAATAAAACGATTTTATAAATAATTTAATCTTCATCGATTTCTAAAAAGAAACATAGAGTAAAGTATTTAAGCTATTAATTTAATCGCCTTCTATTTCAATATTAATCGAGAATCCATTATCTAAAAGATCATCTTCATCTTAATGTATATCTTCATCTTAATTGCTTTCTTAATCTTCATACTGCAATAAAGTATTTATAAAAAAAATTAATATATATTTCACATTATCTATTATATATATAAATATAAATATGTTAATTACTTATAATGATTTCATCAAATGGTTCTTCACAACGTGGGCAGGTTTTGTTACTTAATGATCTTCTTAAAATACACTTATAACAAAATTGATGGCCGCACCCAATAAAAGCCAAATGTTGTGGTTTTTATTTTCTTCTGAGATACACTTTTTGCAAAAACCTTCTCTTTTCATTTTGTCTTTTATTAAATTTTGGTACCCTTCCCATTCTTTTTCTTCTTTTTCTTCCTTTTCCCTTTCTCTTAAAATTTCCAAATATCTTTGTCCAAATATCCATTCTTCTGAGGTTGTTGATGAACTTGTGGATGGAGCAGATGAAGTTGGTG